AGAATTTTGAAAATTTCCTGTGGCTCTTAAAGGGTTAAATTTGAGAAATCGGCCTGAAGCCGTTCATGAACTAGGCAACATGTCCCAGGGCTCAGGAATGCATAGGTTGGGAGGGGTGTAGCATCTACGACTCCGCTGCTATCTTGGTTGCTATTTGTGAGATTTGCGTGCGAAAAAAACATAATATTATTATGATGTGCGCAAAGTGACCTCTACAATACCGGCACATCCGCATACAAATCATCACTACAGAACCGTCTGGGTCATAGATCACAAAAGAACCACCTGGGTCATAGGCGACCCCTTCCTGCTCTGCCAGATCATCACTGATGCCCTTCGTCAACCTTCTTCTCTTCTGCCCAGCCTTTTTTGGTCACCCTCAAGCTCCTCACCTTCCTCTAGCTTTGATATCTTAACGTCTGTCGAAATTTATGCTAGGACTACTAGCCAGCTACAGTGTACCAGCAACGACGGAAACCTGGACTAAAGAACGTAGCTCTCCCTGCAGTGAACAGAGAAATCTCTAACACTGTTACTGATAAAGTGATGGTGTCATGGTGGACACACTCTCCGTGCAATGGACGAAGAAATTTCTAACATTGCTACTCATTAAGTTATCTTTTCATGGTGAACACACTCTCTTTGCATCAGCTATCTGCTCTTGGTGGACAATACAATGATGAGTAGTCTTGCTGTCTGTTGAGGATGTGGAGTGCCAGGGTAATGCCCATACAGCCCTCCCTAATTTCTGCTAGGACTACTAGCCAGCTACAATGCACCAGCAACGCCGCTAACCTGGACTAAAGAACTTGGCTCTCCCTGCAGTGGGCAGAGAAAACTAACACTGCTACTGATAAAGAGATGGTTTCGTGGTGGAAACACTGTTTACCTGCTTCCTCCTCTTCAAGTCTGCTACTTGCATCAGCTATCTGCTCTAGGGGAACAATACTGGTGAACAGTCTTGCTTTCCGCTGATGTGGAGTGCAAGGGTAATGCCCATGCAGCCCTCCCTAATTTCAGCTATGCCAGCTACAGTGCACCAGCAACGCCGCGAACCTGGACTAAAGAAACTGCGGTGAGCAGCGAAATCTCTAACACTGCTACTGATAAAGTGATGCTGTCATGGTGGACATACTGTTTACATGCTTTGTCCTCCTATTCAAGTCTGCCACTTGCATCAGCTATCTGCTCTTGGTGGACAATACTGATGAGCGGTCTCGCTTTCCGTTGATATTGAGTGCAAGAGTAATGCCCATGTACCCCTCCATATTGCTTGTAGCCTATGACAAGCAAGTCGCTGACACTGTATAGAGCCTGCACTTGTCCATGGTCTTCTCTGTCTACCGACATTACCCTCTGATCGGTAGTCCACCCTCCAACTTCTTTCCAATCATCTACCTCTTCAGCTTGCGGAGGTTTGGGATGACACACTTTTCGACATTAAAAAAAGATCACAGTGCGCGTGACACTCGGCTGCAGGTCGAGTTTTCCGCATTCATAGGAACACCACCACCTTTTCGACATTGCCAGCACATCATCCTCCAGGATTGCTATATCTGGGCTGTGCGGGGCAGCATCGTTCACAGAGTTGAAATGTCCTGTATCGTCACCGCCGATGAAGGTGTGTGTGGCGTGTCTGTCGGAGTTGCAGCAACCGTTCCTGATACGTTGCTATTTATTCGATACCGAAGGAGAAGACTTTGGAACGGAAACATTTGTGTCATTGAAAACAAGAACATCATCTTTCCATTGCCTAATGCCGCGTGATTGTGAATAAATAAATGGTACCTGTCATAAAGAAAAATGGGTGTATGTGTGCATACATTCATGTACGTGTGCGCACATGCGGACCGTGTGTAAGTATTGGGTGCTGTTAAAGGTTAAGGTGACCAGCAGGTCTGAGTGAATTATCGGTATCTCACCTTACTAACCTCTTGTTACATCGTGTGTTGCTCCCTACGTGGGGGGCTTGCGCTATTCCTGCCGACTTGAATTCTCACTTGACTTCAAGAATTCAAGTCGGCAGGAATAGCACAAGCTCCCACGCAGGGAGCAACACACAATTCCCCAAGTATCGCCGAAGTCGCACCAACCTCTTCCTTACTGACCTTGTGTTACATGAATTTCAACGTGTACCACTATATGTGTACTGGCTGCAGGTGTACTGGCAAACACGTTCCGTGAGCAGGCGATGTCGACAACAGAGGATCGCAAGTGGATTGTATTTGACGGTCCGGTGGATGCAGTGTGGATTGAAAATATGAATACAGTGCTGGATGACAATAAGAAGGTAATCTGATTTCAGAAAACAGAAAATTTAGGCACAGAGAAACAGCTCCTGATTGGAATATATGTGTTAGTGTCTGTTTGTTTATTGAAATTCTGGGTGTGAAGCAGATGCACCGAAAGTACGAGAATAGATGTACGCCAACAATTTGTGGAATTACGGTATGCAGTATTCGCAAACTTAATGGCTGGCAGGAATTCGAGGAGCATGCACGAGTGTTTGTTGTGGGTGTGGGTTGGTAGTCATCATGTCGTGCACTTGCAGCCATGTTCATGGGACCAACAGTGCTATGAGGTAGCCTGCTGAATGGTCGGTTGATTTGTAGTGTGACCAATTTCAACTGTATCTGAAACGATGTATTCTTTGTGTAGACAATAGTTCTTCCTACCTCCCTCCTCCCCCCCCCCCCTCTCTCTCTCTCTCCTCTCTCTCCTCTCTCCTATCTCTCTCTCTCTCTCTCTCTCTCTCTCTCTCTCTCTCTCCTATTTCTCTCTCTCTCTCTCTCCTCTCTCCTCGACCCTCCGTCCTCTGTCCTCTGTCCTTTTCTCCTCTCTCTTCTTTTCTATTCTGTTGTTATACTATCACAGCTGTGTTTGATGAGTGGTGAAATTGTTCAAATGAGCAACAAGATGAACTTGATCTTTGAGCCCGAGGACCTGGAGGTAGCATCGCCTGCTACAGTCAGTCGATGTGGTATGATCTACATGGAACCGCACCAGGTAAGCAACTGTGGCACAATCAAAATATACTTGAGAGGCCAAACCTTTCACCCTGGCATTTATCCCTGTTCCTGGTGCCAGCAGACATTGCGGTGTGTAGAGTGTAGAGTAATCTTTTGTGTAGTAGTATACCGCTTTATCACGTGCTCCTGTAGCATCCTCTCTAGTGTGTGAGCCGCGGATCTGATATTATTTTTGGATTGTGTGCTTCTATCTTGAATTTCGAAGACCAAAGTTGCAATAATTAGGCTTCAATGCACAGTTAAGCTTTACTGGAAATCCAACATGTGTTAACAGCAAGGCAAGACCGACTTGCCATTCCAAACTCATACCAAAGCATAAACTTCTCATCTGCCCTCAAGCCGAGATGTCTGATGATAGTCACTGTGTGTGTGTGTTCATTGTGTCCGCCATATCTCTCTCTTTCTGTAGCTTGGCTGGCGACCACTGATGACGTCATACATGGAGTCTCTACCTAACAGTATTGTGGAGGAGCAGAAAGATCTACTGGAGCAGCTGTTTGACTGGCTGGTTGAGCCATGCTTGGGTGAGCACAGGTAGTAGTGTAGTCATGTAGGTCTCTGGTTGAGCCATGCTTGGGTGAGAACTGGTAGTCTAGGAGACTTACCGACAATTGCTCTATGGCTGAATATTGAAATAGCTACGGCAATGTTTTTGTATGCATAACCCACCAAGGGGTTCTTCAAAGGTTGCACTTTTTTTGGGGCCGCCCGTAAATAACAATAATTGCGAAACAAAAATTGAAGTTTGGTTGAACTGCTGTCTGCTTTGTCATTGAATTGAATACTGCTGACGTGATCTAGAAAGGATCGAAGTGTTGGTCGATGTATTTAGCAGGCTGTGTCGAGAAAATAAAAAAACTTGTGGTTGGAAATGTTTTTTGTTATCTATGGACAATTCCACACCTAACTCATTTACGCACTGCCCAATATGCTCGCTTTTCTGCAGAATATGTCCGTCTGGAGTGCAAGCAGTTTGTAGTGACATCATCGCTACATCTTGCCCGATGTATGATGTCATTGCTGAACAGTACAATGGATGAGCTGCTACACAATGGCGAGGACGGAAATGCAGATATTCCTATTGCACAGGTATGCTTCCAATAGACCCTTTGCACAATAACGGTCACGTGATCCGAGACGGGGCATCCTCTTCGATTTTTGTGCAGAGTATCAGTTGTTGAGCATGGTGGAACACTGTATTTTTCCATTTTGGAGATGGAGGGGAGAGCGTCGAGTGGTTTGCCATCGATGGCTGTGGAACCTGTGGACGAACTGTCAAATGAAGAATGGTCTGTGAAGGAACTGAACAGTTTTCTGCTGAATAAGGGTGCGTATCTGTCTGGAAAAGGAAGGAGTTGTTGGAGAGGTAAGTTTTCCGCATTCAGTGGATATTTCGGATTACTGTAGATTGAAATTGATTATTCTTTTCTCTACCTTCTCTCCCCTGTCGATGTAGAGAACACTTCTCTATGCAGAACCCTGATGCTCCTAGAACTAAGAAGGGCACCACTTCCTCGAGTGTACCTTCATCGTGCCCAACATTTCATGCGTCCCAGTGGATGAGTGATGAACCTCTGTTTCCCAGAGTGAGTGCCACAGCATGCTTGCTTGTCTCCAACGCAGGGGCAAGTCGCCGACGACAGTGAAGAGGGAGCTGATGGAGTAGTACAAGTGAACAGGCCCGTGGATAGTGTCCATGAGTTTTACTTTGGTGGCCATGTGCATAATGTGAAAGTCTGTCATATCGTGCACACAGCCACAGCTCGAACTCAGATGACTTTCTCCGCACACCTGAACGATGAGGCTGCGTCTCTCTCCACTTCAACATCAACAGCTCGAGCAGCGCCAGCAAGCAGTCGATCTTCCAATAGCGAAGACAGGGATGGGTCATGCCTTTTTCTCAAGCTCCAGAGTCTCTTGGCAGGGCGTTCCATATCTTCGCAAAAGCAAGGTCGGATGAAAGTCGTCATGGATAAAGTGTTCCGAGCACAACACTGGGAACGATATCGCAGCACTGCGGCCCTCTTCTCGCCAGATAGCCAGGATTCCAGAGTGTGGAATGCCAGCATCACCAGGGAACGCATGGAAAGACAAGTGGGTTTCTTAGACTAACGTTAGGGATGACGGTTGCTGCAAACAAGAACCCAACAGTGGTCCTTGGAAAGCGTTTCGGAACTTCTTCCTTCAGAACTAAAGAAACTTCAAATGAAAAAAGGCTGCGGAGTACATACATGAACATCGCGTCGGGACCGTGAAAACACAGCCTGTCACAGGAAACTTGATCACGTCCTGCAGCAAACCACGCATGCTGGTTGCATGCCAAGTGTGCAGCGCGTGCACAGCATGCCCCGTCTCGACCCCTCTCGCTTATTGTGCAAAGGGTCTATTGCAATGGCATGCATGTGATTAAACTGCAGTCTACAGTGAAACCTGTCAAGGCGGCCACTCAGGTTAGGTGACCACATATCCTAGACTCAGACCACTGTAACCAGGACCAAGGAATGCTATTTCCAGTCAAATGACCCTGGATGTGGAGACCACCCGGTAACAGAGAGCATGTTTTGAAGATCCCTGGAGAGGTCGTGTTAGACAGATTTCACTGTATTTGCATCTAGATTTCCAGGGTTGTTGTTGTTGTTGTTGTTGTTGTTGTTGTTGTTGTTGTGTTTATTTTAATTCGCAAGCCAAACGGGCAGATCTGCCCAATGAAAAGGTGGCGAATGCAGATAGAAAGCAGTAATTAATGAAATTGGGGAGGGATGTAATAAGGATAGAGGTGGAGAGAAACTAAGCCAGCTGATCATCAAACAGGACGTTTGGTACTCTAGGTACTAAGGGTGTGCGGGATCATGGTTCTTTTTGAATATCGGTTTGCTCGATACTCGGCTAGATTGTGTTTTCCGCATCCGTATGAACGCCACCAGCCTCAAGGATCAAGGCGAAGGTGCAGTTTATAGAAAGGTGGGAGTTGAGTTGATCAGACCCACCACCAAAGTGGTCCAATACCGAAAATCCCATTTGATTTGCGGTTTACTCACGTCTTGTTGTCATGGAGATGGGGGAGGGTATAACGCGTGTTGCGCATCGAACCTTAGCTTATGTCACGGTAGAGTCATTGGCCTCTCGATTATAAAGATGCATGCAGTGGAGTTTTAGTATCTGTTTATTGTGCGCTGGCCTGCCATGGTCTGTTGTGTTGTGTTCAGCGCCTCTCCTGGATGCCTGGATTGTTCTTCTTCGCTATTGCCTGGGGTGTCGGTGGCATGCTGACTGGAGACAGCAGGGTCAAGTTTGATCCGTTCTTTCGAACGTTGATCAGCGGCACGGATCAGGACAACCCCCGACCGAAGAGCTGCAAGATCAGCAAGGTGAGATGGCTGTCAGCGAATAGTGTTGTTGTTGATTTTTATTTTATTTTTTCACCAATTGCATGGACATTGTCGCCTTTTCACCCTCCCCAAGGTCCAAACAAACGAACATTCTATAAGGTTAGTTAACGAACGGATATGTTACTTATCGAACGAATATCGACTATTCTTTCGGGGAAATAGTTTAGAGCGGCTGTTCCTTCATGCACACATCCATGCACATACAATGGCGCAATTCAAGGTGACGACATCAGTACTAGTACTACTGGTACCATCGCAGGTCAACACTTCCAGAGCGCGCACACTTGTACATGTCACAACCCCCGTACACTTCCTTGAAACGAATATTCCAAAAGGGGAAAATATTCCTTCTATCGCGTTTCTAAACAGATATCAATCGAGTATATATTCCTTGCAACCCCAATTTGTATAATTATGTTGTTATTGCCTCTATGTACAGACTGCCCTGTTGCCAGAACAGCGGACAGTCTTCGACTACTACTTTATCAAGCAGGCTAATGGTGTTTGGGCACCTTGGACCGATTTGCTGGAGAAGCAGTCGATTGCCGCTAATGCAAAGGTATGCCGAGGCATCGTCCCACTGGAGTACATATGTGCTTCATTTCTCTGTGTGTGCAGGTATATTGACACTGACTGTGGGGCAATATGAGTATCATTTTGGGTTCATCATCATGTACAGTCAAATTCACGTATAACGACACTCGGCGGGGCATCAGAAAAGTGTCCTTATTCGCGAAGTGTCCTTATACCCGAAGTATCATTATTATATTATATTACAGTTAGATGGGACTTTGCTCTGGGCATGGAAATTCTGTCGTTATTCGCGAATTGTCGTTATATCCGCAGTCGTTATTAGCGAAGTTGACTATACTGTGTTCTGACCTAGCTGAGTCAACATGAAAACTAATTTACACACGAAACCTCAAGCCTGGCCCGACGTTTGTGTTACGTCATTCGTTCTATAATGTTATCACCGTAACCAGGTGCATTATGTGTCGTGTTCATTCGCTTTCTCAGCCGTCTGAGCTCATTATCTCCACGGTGGAGACAGTGAGACAGAGGTACTTCCTCCAGACACTCCTATCACACGAGGTACCGACTCTCTTTGTCGGACCAACGGGAACTGGCAAGTCAGCCATCACCAACAGTTATCTCATGGGCCTGCCCAAAGAAAAGTAAGAATAAAAGCAGAGCTATTCTATCACCATCATTATTGGGCATCACTGCCCGTTTGGTTTCTGATGTAAAATAAAACTTCAAACTTCAAACAATTAACTATGCTGTCATGTCCACACACATACAAAGCAACGTAGTAAGTTAGAATCCAGAACGTTTTCCTGTGACCTTCAGTGGAATAACGTCACTGATCAGGAACATGAAGAGTCCATAGCCCCAAGAGTGTGCAACTCTGTACATGGAGATCCGCGCGGCGGAATTCCAACATTACGTCAAACATGACGTACACGTTCGTTGCGCTTGCACTACTCCCTGGTTCCAAGCACCGCGGAATGCGGAGTTTTGTCCTCTGTGCCTCAGCGGCATGACGTAATGTTGGAACTCCGCAGCGCAGTAGGCATACAGCAGCCAGACCCCAGTTGCACACTCTTGGGCTTATGGACTCTTGGTAACATGGATATAACTCACTATTTCAGCCCAGTCTTTAATTGCCAGTCAGTCAGCAGGAAGTGCGAGCTCTGACGACCATAGCACCAACCACCTTCATGTCTTTAGAGATTTGGAACGCCACCGTTGAGTATGGGCATATCTCTCCTGTCTGTAACTATGCCTTCTTCATACCAGGGTGATTTGCCATGTAACCTTGTATGCCTGGAAATCACAACTTTCATAGCTACCAATAGGTCGTACAGTGCAGTTGCAGTGGCCCTTCATGATCCAACACTGTCACGGTCTGATTGTTTCTGCCTAGGTATCTGCCAAACGTGGTCAACTTCTCAGCGCGTACCACAGCCAGTATGACACAAGACATCATGATGGCCAAGCTGGACAGGTGTGTAGTGTAGTGATTGCAGATTCTCATGTTCAACATCTCCAGTATTGGATATTGGAACCAGGTCGGTCTCGTTGTCTAGGTGACGGCTAATCAGCAACGTCCCCGCCAAGGGTCTTGTTAGAGTTTGAAGCCCGCTGAATCGGAATTTTACCATTCTTTGAAAATCATGTGTTTGTGTGTATCTTGCCTCAGACAAATGTTTTTGGCTATTTTGTTTGTGTGTGCACGCGTGTGTGTACCTTTAACCGTGTGTGCACGTCTGTCTGTTTTGTGTGTGTGTGTATGTGTGTATGTGTGTGTATGTGTATGTGTGTATGTGTATGTGCGTCTATGTGTGCCTGTGTGCCTGTGTGTGTGCTGTAATTTACAGACGTCGCAAGGGAGTGTACGGTCCACCGATGGGCAAGAAGTGCATTGTGTTCGTCGACGACCTTAACATGCCGGCTAAGGAGAAGTACGGCGCCCAGCCACCCATCGAGTTGCTACGACAACTCATAGATCATCAGCACTGGTATGATAAGAAAGATACGTCGCGAGTGGACCTCATTGACGTGGTAAGTATGCGCTCAGCCACTGCATTGGTCACAACCACCAAGTCTTTCCTAGCGTTCCCGGTAAAAAAGGAACGCCTGTTGGGAGTTCCTTAGTAGAATAATAAATTCTACTACTTGGAAGGGTGTTTTTATTGACCACATAAAATGATGATGCAAAGAAAGAAAAGGACACTGGAAACATGATGCTGGATTTGAAAGAAGAAGAGAAACAGGAAGAAGAAAAGAAACCCGACCAAGAGAACTCAAGCATAGCACCCAGGAGGCGAAAATGAACTCAATCCCGAGCATAAGCTCAATCCGCCACTACTACTGCTGCACTGCAACGATACTGCTTTGGCTGTAGTCACAAGTGACCTGATGTTTGTATTGTGCAAGAAACTCGCGAGTTGGGACGAACTCTGTAAACCTTCTTTGTGCCGTTATGCCTTTGTGTGTGTGTGCGTGTATGTTTATATGTTTGTGTTTTTGTGTGTGTGTTTGTTTTTTACTTGAAACCACGTACCCAATTCGTACAACAAGAAAGAAAGAGGAAATGACAAAATGCGTGTGTGTGTGTACGTGTGTGTGTTTTTGTGTGTTTATGTGTGGTTGCATGTGGTTGCATGTGTGTGTATGTGCCCGACTGCCCGTGTACCCACATGTGTCTGTAATGCACAGATCATGCTATGTGCTATGGGTCCACCTGGAGGTGGTCGTAATCACATCACGGGGCGCATCACACGACATTTCAATGTCGTCGGTATCGAGTCATTCGATGACAACACAATGACCAAGATATTCACTTCAATTGTGGACTGGCATTTCGGACATGGCTTCGACGCTACCTTCAACCGACTTGGAAAGGTACACAAGCTTGATATTCAAGATGAGCCATTGTCGTGTACGCCTGGTTTATGTGTTGATATATCATTGATGCAGACAATTTGGATTTGGGTTTTGACCACTTTGTGATGGGTTTCAGATACTCATATCCACCGGAGCTGCATCTGTGCCTTGATCCTTGAGGGTAGTGGCGTTCCTACGGATACGGAAAACGCAGTCTGAATGGGTCACACGCGAGTTGTGAAATTTTAAATTCACTTTATTTCCTTTATACCCGGTTTGAACTTTAGCCTACTGGATTAAAGTCAACAAGTATTCGGTGCATATTTGATATTTATTTTCGGCTATTTTCGGCCTGGTCATGTCTGGACGAAAATTTGTTGCGGCCGAAATTTTGTTTCGCACGGTTCAGTGTGATAGCGTGTACAGCAATACAGGCCGAAAATTTGATGCGGCCAAAATGGATTTTAGCCCTGGGAGGCCGAAAGTTGAATGGGCTGAAAATTTGTCGACTTACAGTAACAGAAACCTAGCTCTTGTTTGTAACAGTTCTTCTCATGGTTTCTTACAGGAATAAGCCTAGCCTTTCTGTGCAAACTCATGTTACATTGCCATGCCGATAGCACTGCTGCTAGTTTTGTGTCCTTAGATTGGTCCGTGCCGTGTTTGTAGTGTGATCATAATTTGTATTGTTGTTGTCGCTGCTGTTGCTGCTGTTGCTTCTTCTTCTGCTGCTGCTACTCTTGCTGCTGCTGCCGCTGTTACTGCTGCTTTCGCAACTGCTTTTGCTCCTGCTGCTACTGTTGCTGCCGCTGCAATGACAGGTTATGATAGCAGCTACGATGGACGTTTACAAATGGGCCGTATCTCATTTCCTGCCCACGCCCACCAAGTCGCACTACGTGTTCAACTTGCGTGACTTTGCACGTGTTGTGCGAGGTGTGCTGCTGGTGCCTGCAACGCACTTGAAGGAAGGAGACAAGCTGAGCCGTCTGTGGATTCATGAGGTTTACCGCGTCTTCTACGACCGCCTCGTTGATGATGGAGATAGGTTAGTGGTCTGACGTTGGTTGAGCTCTAGGACGTGCGTGCGTGCGTGCGTGCGTGTGTGTGTGTAATGTCACTCCAAATAGCTGTATGGTGTAGACCAGGCTGAATAGTGACGGTCAATTCTTCAGCCTTGCAAGCTGTTGAATGGTGTAATCCCAGCACAAGTTGCTATGGCTTCTGCCGTAGCATTGCTATCATCGCCTCCGGCGATGGGCGTCAAAGGTCAGGTCAGGTGTGTATGTGTGTGTATGTGTGAAAGAGAGAGAGAGGGGCGTTGGGGGGTGAGCAAATTATGAAGGTATTCTGTGTAAATATGAGGTCAATGGAACTACTACTAGTAAGCAGCTGATTCTCCAAGCACACCGTGCTGTAACATCAAAAACATAATATATCATTTCTCAGCCTTGTGTGAGACCTCCGTTCCCTGGTGTAGCACACCGATTGCCCCAAAGACATGACCATGTCAGCTTTACTGGTGCGTGCATATGTGTGTTTGTGTGTGTACATGTGTATACGTAATTACGTGTGTGTGTGTACCTGTGTGTACGTGTGTATGTGTAATTACGTGTGTGTGTACCTGTGTGTACGTGTGTATGTGTAATTACGTGTGTGTGTACCTGTGTGTACGTGTCTACGCGTGTGAACGTATGCATTTGCCGCACTCTTCCCCAATCCTGTACAGAGTGATGTTCTTTGGCATGATGAAGGAGCAGGTCAACGAGCACTTCAAGGTCACACTGGACAAGCTATTCCTGCATCTGGCCACTCCTGGAAAGGCGTTGGAAGACGACAACATGAGGTTAGTCGCAGTGTTATCTCAACATGGTGGCCTTCTCAGAGTTTTCACCATCACTGGTATAGCTCTGCAGGGGCGTAGATGGACTCCCCTTTAACCCATTGAACGCTGATGACGTCTATAGACGTCATTGAAAATGCCCCCCATGCGCGGGATGACGTCTATAGACGTCATGGGATATATAGTGATTTCCGTCACTATCAGGTGTGTAAAAGCACTGTTAGTCAGTTGGATCATGATCCTGCCTCTTGTACGATAGGTCGTCGGTACGAATCCCGCTTGATAACACTATGCGTCTTTTTTTCTTCTCTTTTCAGCGATCTTTCAGTCGCAATTGCACACATTTAGCGTATTTCACGCAATTTGAGCAAACTTGCGTCCCCTATTGTGAAGCGCTATTCTTTTCGGGGACTGTATCGATTCTGTCACCCTGTGGTTGATAGTCTTGGCAATCATTTCCAAAATATTTGAGGACCCAGTTGCCAGAACCCTGGAGTTTTAGAACTTTCTATTTGCCTTGTTTTTAGCATTTTATATGCAGAGTACCATAGGCAAGGCCCAGTAGCGCTGAATGGGTTAAAAGGGGCCGCAAAGCCGAATATATGTAGGATGGCTGGTGCATGTCATTCATGGTCATTATGTGCATGCTGAACGGAGGTGAGATATTTTAAGGGGTGCCCCATGCTGGCTACACGCCAGGCTGTATGTACAGCACTGGTATGCCATGTGCTGTATAAAAACCACTGTGCTGAATTAGCCCCGTTGCCTTGCTGACTTACTATGGGATTTTCTCACACGCATGATTCTTGTATTCATCTCTATCATGTCTCTGCAGGAGTTTATTCTTTG